TCCACTTCTCAAGCCATGCCTGTTATTAATCCCTATTGTTCTCTGAATCCCTGGCTTTCAGTGGGCGGTCAGTTTTTGTTGCTTGGAACATGTTTTTTTTATAACTAAACCAATTATTAACTGTAAATTTCAGTACCACGCTAGATAACAAAAGATTAGGGCTTAGATGCCTAACTTCAACACTCAGCCGGAGCTGAGTATTACTGGGTAGCCCAATACCCAGCCAGGACCTAATATCTGGCCAGGTTCTTGTGTATCCCTAGTTAAGTGATAAATGTTTATCATCGATCAACTGATACTTATGTATTTTATGATTTTATCAGTTAACTATAGTGTTAAAAAATTTTATTTCTACTTTCCTATTACTAACTAACTGCGATGTTTAATCATTACACATGGAAGTATTATTCTTGTGTCATCAGGTTAATGAAATAGCAAACAACTTTAACTATACATTCTCATATCATCTGCCAATATTAATACAGTGGTTAAGTCATATCCTGATAAATCTACTTCATAGTTTCTGTAACAATATCTTACCTCCTCTCATAAAAGCTTTGTACTGCCCTCTATTGGTGGAAATTTTTGCTCGCCACTAGCCTTTTAATTCCTACTTCTTTTTGCATATCTACATTTAAATGACTATGCAGCAACCCTCCACCAATAGGGGTGTGACACAACCCCTATCATAACTAGCACCCTCTCTAATAATGTACCTATTAAATCACTTCTTGATTGGCAGTCTTAGTGTACAGACGTGTTTGTTTTCACTCGCAATTTAGTTATTATATCCATGCATGTTTACTTTAGAATTTTTTCTGATTTAGTCACTACCATTTTCCTTCTTTTTTAGTGGAGAGTCGTGATTTAAATTTCATTATATACTCTCTCTTTCCTAAGTTTTTGTTTTTGACCTCGTGAATTATGCACTCATAGTTTTGGTTGGTCACAGTTATCACTGCTGTTGCTGCTATGGCAGATTTCTCATTTACATTTGTGGAGAGTGATAACGCAGTTGTCAGCTGTGGGAAGAGGACTATATTCTGTGGGGAACTGTACCATTTTTGGTAACATTCTGTGTGACCTGTTGAGTAGCCTGTCTTACCAGCACCTAGGTGTATCTCAGTGGGTGTGTGTGTGAATTAGGTTAGTTTGTTTTTATCTTCCTGAACATATTTTTCTGTCACATGTCATTTTGGGGGGTCTTACCTAGGCCTCCTTCGACCTTTGTAGCCATTGTTTCTTCAGGTATGTTATTTTTTTGTCTTTATCTCCTGTTTCCTTGGATTTTACCCCTGCTCTCTTTGGAGAGTAATCTGTGGGTCTTCTTTGGTTTTTCCTTCTTATCCAGAAAATGGGGTTCATGCTCATTGTTTTGGGAAATACTTGCATTCGGAGGTTGGTATGCTTTGTGCCCTGTTTATGTTGGCCCGTCATTTTCTTGCTTTTCTCGTACCACCTACCCACAATTCACCTCACACCTGATGTTAGTTAAAGCTGGATGAAACACATGAATTCCCACATATGTAAGGCTGGGTTCCTTGTTTCTACGATGGACTGGATGAGATATTCCAATGCCGCCACGTTTTGGACAGGAGATGAACGCCTCCTGTGCTTCCCTTATTTCCTACCATCTGCTGGATTTCAGTTCCTGGTAGATTCAATGTTGATTGTGTTGGAGATGGATTCTTGGTATGTAAGCTCATCTTCCCTTCCAGTACCCATTTTTGAGGGAGAAGGTAGAGGACCCTCTTTGTATCGCTGACCTGATGTGCAATTCCAGATGCTGCCAGGTATTGGTAGAGGTCCAACTCTAATTTACAGCTGTTGTGCCCTACCCACTCGACACCTAAGGGTCCCATTAATGATGAATACATTTGGTGGCCTGTCCATGTTTCTGTTCTTTCGTTTTAGTGACACTTTACTCATGAGCAAAGGTGTACCTGGCTCAGAAGTGGTGCAGTCTCCCATGGTGTGATGTTTCTAATTCTTTTTACACACCACAAGGTCTTTCTTTGGGTGCTTTCTGAAGGAGAATCATCTTCTCACCGACTCTTTGCCAGTTCATTGTAGGAATCTAGTTTTTTGTGAGAAGAGATAACATATGGTGTCAGAAGTTAAACTTTTTTGAAACTGAAAATATATTTCTTAATAGATACTTACCACTTCTCACATTTCCCACCGATCTTCCCCACTTCTGGTGTATTGGTTGACTTGGTCATGGCCAATCTCGAAGTGATTAACAGGTGCATTATTAGAGAGAGTGCTTGGCTAGTTAGAATAGGGGTAGTTTAGCACCCTCTATTGGTGGAGAGTTGCTGCATGATCATTTGCATGTAGATATGCAGAAAGAAGTGGGGGTTACAAGGCTAGTGGCAAGCAAAAAATAGACACCAATAGAGGGAAGTACTAATTTGGAATATATTTTCAATTTAGGAAAATGTTAACTTTCACTTTTCCAGATAAGTGGGGGGGTTAAAACATTAGCTTACATTATCATATGATTAAATGATAAAAATATTGGATGATTTTTAATAAACTCTTAACTTAAAAAGTTTATTTGTTGTTAGGTGCTGGTCATATGAGTGATGCTGTTGGAAAACTTCAGAAGGGTTTGGTGCACCTCAATCTTGCCAAAACTGGATTGACATTTAAAGGAATCGGTATCCTTGCACATTCTCTTTCTTTGAATCAGTCCATGTCTTCTACATTAACCTACCTCAATCTAAGTGATAACATTGTCAAGGAAGATGTGAATGTAAGTAACTAAATGTAGATAATGTGTGAAATGATATACCCTTACCAGTTACTGTCTTTTAGTAAACCCTGATGAAATCTTACCTCTCCTGAATTTTTCTTTAAAACATTTAGTCAAAAATATTCTTTAAGAGATCTATTCCTATTAAAAGTATAAAACTTGTATTTATAAGACTAGAATTGGAAACATAATTTAATTTCAAGTTTATCTATCTCCTTGTTTTCTCAGTATAAAATTCATCATGATTGAAACAGTACCCAGATCAAATCTACTTAAAGCAAGGAATCTATTGATCTAACAATATTTTAACACAAATTTCATGTATAATCTATTCATCTAATGACATTTTAACACAAATTTCATTAATAGTTTTATATCAGAAGCTGTTTTCAATTTTGCCCAAGCACATTCTATTTTGTGACATAGCTTGGAACGTAATGCAATTAACAAACAGTGAAGTATTTTTTCCCCATTTACAAATGTACTCAATATTTTAGTAAAAAAATTGTTTTAGAATTTAATCCAAAAAAAGGGTAATGATTAATTTCAAACCTTGTTCTTAGTTGTTTGAACATTTTGATGTTTTTATATGCAAAATACATCTGCTAATATCTTTCTTAATATGCCAATAATAATTTTTTTTAATCAAATTCACTGCATTTTTGATATATCAATTTTTTGATAGACTAATAACAAGTAATGGATTGTTGACATATATATTATCTGTTATTCTGACCACTTTGCATTTTTGACTGAAAAAATGTGTAAGGTAACATTTTAACTTGTATTTTGCTACTCCTATTATAACATAAATAAAAGATACTGAAGTGCTGCTATGAACAATATTAATGCTCTTCAGCCATTATAATATTGTCCTGTTAACTCTTTCAGCACAGACTCAGTCTGAGGGACTGACCTTGTAACCATTTTGTGCTTGTTATAGTTTTCATGCTATAACTTTTAAATTAGTGAGCGTATCTTCACAAAATTTTGCATATTATCAGTAAACATTATAAAGCTTTCGTATGGAAAATATCATATCTTTTTATTAAGTTTTAAGATTTCTTAAGTAATGTTTTTCTCATGCTTTTTTACTTTTTGAATGTTCACTATCCAACATGCAAAGTAATTTTGATATTAAGATTAAAAATACTTTTATGCATCAGAAGATTTTCAAACTTCACATGTAAAATCTTTACAACCTCCAGATAATTATCAAACTTTTTTAGAAATACTTTATATTTTATCTGTTATTTTCACAACTGTATCTCTGTACATGTTGGGTTAATTTGACCTCATAACTACCATAAAATTTAGGAAATAAATTTAAATTATGCCTTTTTTATTATTATAATATGAAAACACAAATGTTTAATCTAAATAGGTTAAATCTCATAACATTATACATATATATATATATATGTATTCTTTTTATTGTATTGACCTTTCAGCCATGCCTGGCTAACATTACAGAGTGGCAATGATATTGTGCACATGCACTCATATTACCATATCCAAGAGTGTAAAACTGTCCTTTACAAAGTGATCTCTCTTGGCAGTGTTTTAGTGAACTAGTACTTTATAAAATACTGTCACATTTCAGTTAAAATACATTATATATGTACAGTATATACATTATTAATATTTACAAATAAGTTCCTTAACTTATTTTTCTTAAAACATAGAACAGTAAATAAAAAAGTATTGCAAACAATTATCTCTTCTAGTTACGAACTTTTTACTTTTTTGCTGCTTGCCGTATGTTGCCAAGCCATGTCAAATTTTGCACTTGGAAGATGTGAAATAAAATAATTTGTTTTGGATTTTATATGTACATTTTGAAATAACCAAAAATCATAAATTATTATATCAATACCACAGAATTCCACTATAATTTATCAGGCTTAGTAACTTAAGCTGCAGTTGGGTCTAAAAAATATTAAATTTTGAGCTCAATAATGTCTTACCTAATTACTTAGAATCTAGCATGAGCAAAAAGAGTTTGACATGAAAATACTTTGCAGAGGATGAGAAAACCACTAGGGGGACATTCTGAGCTTTCGACTGGTTATACACATGTCATTTGGTGAAGTATGTGTATGAAAGCAGGTGTTTTCAAAAACTAAAAAGGTGGGCAGGGCCACCTTCGTTGATTCAATATATGTATCAATATCTCAGCAAATAGAAAAGATGGGTGGTTCTTATTTTACATTCTAGCTTGTCATTGTCAGTAATTTGAGTATCTAATTCGTAAGAAACTATAGACTTTGTAGTTTGACATCACAAACATCTAATTTGAACCAATGCTGCATTCAACATACCATGTGACACACAAAAATCAATATTTAGGATTTTTTTTAGATACTTACTTTAAATTAAGAAATTAACTAATGTATAATTCTAAGATTTGAATTTTAATCTACAATTTGATACCAAACTTATTGGCATACATTCATAAAATAGAAGTTCAATAAAATATTTATATGCAAGTCAACATAGGTGATTATATGGCCTTTGACTGTGGCCTGTGACCCTTGTTGGTAGGGTTAACTGATAAAATAAATAGGCCAGGTTTTGAAACATACATTTCTCTCAGACTAGCTATCTTTCATTTTTTCTTTATTTGATATGTTTTTCTGAGCCAGAAAGAGATATTTTTAAGCACATGTAATAAGAGGTGTTTTCTTCAAATTTAAAGATTTTCATAAGCATTTAAGTTAGTTGTACCAAATACCATGCTAAATTATTTTTGTATGTCAGTGTGACTACATGGTTTTGTAAATCATGTTTTTTTCATTCATTGACATGGATTTAACACACTAAATGTTTCAAAGTTTTATCTAGGGTCATTTATTACCACATTGCCCTTCTTTCACAATGAATTTGTTATGATTGTATTTTTACAAGTAGTGGCCTTTTCCCACTTATGTTGTTCATAATCTTGTTATCTAAAAACATATTTCTACAAATATATTTAAAATTACAGTTAAATTTATAAATGACACTCATTCAGTCTGAAAATGACCATTCTAAGTATACAACAGAACTGAATAGAAACATTATTGATGCTATATTTTTCTTATGGTAGTATCAATGTTACATCTGAAGTAAATTTTTGCATGTTTTATAGTTTTTAATTTATTTTTAAACTGTGAAACATTTATCTTGCATGCAATAAAATATTCAATTGGATTGTTAGAATTTCAGTTTTTCAACATAAGGATAACAGTTGTGTTGATAAGTAGAATCCACATCAGTTTTCAATGAAATGTGATAAATGTATAATGTTAATTTGGATAGTATTCATTGTCATTGTTTAACTGATTAGTGTTGACATAGTTTGATATTGCATCCTCAGCTTATCACAAATAACCAGCAAAAGCAAATATATCTCACATTAGTTGGGTCAAGTTCATCTTTTGCAGTTAGATGGTGGTATATTAAATCATTCTTTGGTTCAAATAAAATAAGTTACAATGTAACTATTTAAGGATGCTGACCTTAACTGACTAAAGCATCTGCTTAGTAAGTAGACATGAGGGTTGAAATCCCACATGGGTTTCAATTTTTACTTCTTCAGGGTGAGTTCTCTCACCCTCAGACATTACTTCAGTTGAATTATTTAACAGCATTAATTAGTGAATAGTATTTATCTACAGTGGCTAAAGAATAAAAGTGGCAACAACTAATTTGTTAAGATACGTTTAATTGCATGCAGCATGGTAATGTTAAACAAGTGTACACAAATATAAAATTTTCTCTTAAGAGAGAAATAAAGATATATTTTTTTACATAGAACATAAGATATCAGTATTTAGTTTTTAATATAAAACCTACAACATAAATATATAGATTATAATAGTAATTTATTTGTTTTTTTATAGAACTTGTATAACTTTCTTGCACAGCCAAATTCACTTACACATCTTGACCTCTCCGGGACTGGATGTGCAATGGACACTGTGAGTTGCATCCCTTTTCATTACTTGTAATATGGCTACTTTATGGTTACTTTTTTAGTGCATTTAAAATTTTCAGGATCAATAGAATTCTAAATACAATATGTTTTATACTGTAAACATGATTATTTACAGAACAAAACATCTCTTTTTTTTTCTTTTTTTTTCAGTCTTCATTTGTAGTATAATTGAAGATATTTTGTAATAAATAATTTTTGCCATCTTTATTTGAATAAGGCAAAAATGCAATGCTGGAAACATTAAGTTTCTTTCTTTCTTTTTTCCACTGATGAATTATGACAGTAGAACTTGATTATTTCTCTCACTATGAGCTCGATAAATTTGGCTGAGTTCGTGACCTCAAATTGACCTTTACAGTTTCCATACTTCTAGTATGTTTTGTATGTCATCACAAAATTTTGCAAGCTTTCAGTAAACATTGTCTTTTGTAGAGAAAAAATCTGAATTTTTTAAAAAAAGTATTTTTACTAAAAATTTCTCTGTAAATATATTGAACCAAAGTGTTTACTGCTCCAAGTGCAAAGTTATTCTCATATTAAGATTAAAAATACTTTTCTTCATCTGAAAATTGTCAAATTTCATTTACTTAGTCTCTAAAACCTCCTAAATATATTTCAAATGTTTTTTATTCAGTAAAAACTTAAATTTTATCTGTTATTTTCTCTGCTTTAATTCTATACAATTCTATACAGTCAATTTGACTGACCTTGTGACCATCATAGAAAAAATGGAATAACCTAAATTACTAATTTTTTCTTTCTAGAATGACATCAGATTGTAACAGGAAGCCACAATTGTTTATCTTAAATGTCTTAAAGCTTGTAGCAGTATACACCTGTTTATATTTTGTTATATTTTGATTGTCCTTTGAGCTCTATCTAACTAATAATCCTGCCAACACAAGTTGTAAAGCACTCGGTGAATGTGGTACTAGTGCGTATTCCAGCCATTATTACCCTGTCAAGGTATTCGCAAGCTGCTCACAAGTGTACCTCATGAATAATTTTCATATTTTTTATTCTTTATTTTACCTATTCTAACCTGATAAGTTTCTAGCTTTTATATTTTAATTAGTTTTATAACAATAAGTAAAAAATACACATTAAAAATTAAAAGTATAGTCATTACCTGTGTCTTCTTTTTTTGTGCTTTCAACTATCAATGAAATTTAATCCTACTTTTTTATACTAATGGTACTAGTACAATAAATAATTTTTTACTTAATCAAATAATGCAACTAAGAACACAGAATAATAACATGTAAACAGCAGATAGTGTCCTATAACTAGCATAATGTTTCTGGCATTCAAACTATACAATCAGAGCTGTTAAATGTTCAGCTAACTTGTGTATAGATTTCTCATAGGAATAAAGTTTGAACTGAAAGCGAAATTGAAAACTTTCTGTGCAGAGAATAATGTAATATAATATGTTATCTGATAGATTAAAACTGTGGCTTTCTATTGTTTATAAATAATATAATATTAAACATCAGAGAGAACTATAAAAGAGAGGATGTGGCAGGTGGGAATTGCAAGAGTCTGATTTTATAGATTATGGATCTGTAATCAAATAATATTGAAGGTTATAAAAATTATGTTTTGAATGAGTAATAATTATATTATAATGAGTAATTTACATGAAATGCCACACTTCTCAGAGGAGTGGTAAATAAATTAGAGAAGAGGAAAGACCCGGAGAGAAAATATTGGTTCTCATACTAGGAAAGAATGAGGATTTTATAACATATAATATTAAAATTTGATTTATTAACTACATTTTCATGCCAAGTTTATTAATATATTATGATAATAAAATAGTTTTATTAAATTTTCAATGTAACTATAAAAAGTCATGACATGCCGATTTTGACTTACCTGTGGCAAGAGGGTTAAAATAGTTACAGACCATACTGCATTGTAGTGGCTACTTAGTAAGGAAAATTCCACAAGTATGTTAGCAAGATGGATTTTCACAATGAATTGTTGGAATGTAAAGCAGAAAATTCAGCAGAATAATGTCCCTCAGAAGTTTAAAAACTGGAAGTATATTCTGAAAATGATGACTTCCTCAAAACCTTACATCCTCCAAAACTGTGAACAAGAAATACTGGTTTATGTTTCAAACCATTTGTGGGATTGTTAGTTTCATGATCACCTTTTGTCTGATCATTTGGGAACCTCTAAAACATTAGAATTTAAAACAAAAAGATCACTGGCCTGGTATATTGAAAGATTTTAAACACTATGTATAAACTTGTTACATATGTCAACTAATGAAACTATAAATAAAGTGTCCTTGTGGCTTAATGATTCCAGTGCATCTTACTTGTCTTTTGGAATTTTTAAAGATTGATTTTTGGTATATCTACCTACTATATGTACATAATTTTATCTATAGATTATATTACAAAATTGATAGAATTGTCTCATGTTTGTAATGCCACTGCTCACTTAGCTGTTGATAAGTTGGTTAAGGAAATTGTTTGTTGGTTTGGTACTCCTAATTACATAGTTTATGACTGAGGTACCCAATTCACTAGTGAGGTTTTGAAGAAGCCCAGGTTCTTTTAAAAACAGAACATAGAATGATTACAGCATTCTGCCAACAGGTCAATATTACTGAACAAGTTAACCAAAACCTTAAAATTATGACTCAATCCTATCTTCATAAGCAAATAATATGTAGGATGAGTGTTTACACTTCACATCTTTTGCCTTGTGAAGTTCACTACATAATAGTACAAGAGAAAGTTCTTCCATTGCTTGGAAGTGATCTAATGTTCCCCCTACATCTGTCTCATAACCAGTCTGATGATGAACTTGAGTATTGAGGGATATCTAATTTAACCTTATCATCATGGGTATCCTTTACTGTGCATGACACAAAGATTTTGTCTTACATTCAAAATTTTATTCAACTACTTTTTGTTTATGTTATACCAATTAGTGTAGCATAATATCTTAGCTAATAATCCATATTTAATAGTATATAAGTTTAAGTTCTTAATTCTATAAGGCAATATTAAAAAATATCCTAAATTTTCCCTAGTGTGACACGTGACACATTTTCTCTAGGCTTCTCCTCTTTTCTATTTTATTCACCTCTCCTTCAAAAAGTATGAAATTAAATGTAAATTACTCCATATAAAATTGTTATTGCTCAGACAAACCAATTTTGTTTAGTTACATAGTTATCAAATAGAAAATCAGATCCCTCCTGCCACATCCACCTGTCACATCCTCTCTTTCAGGGCTTATTAATAGTTCTCTCTTACATTTAATTATATATTACCTATAACCAATAGAAAGCCAAGGTTTTCATCTATCAAATGACATATCTTATAACATTGTGATCTGAAACTCAGAGTAGCAACATCATTTCCATGGGAAAGTTAACGACTAGCTTGGATGAACTTGTAATGGCTCTTGTCACATAGTTATAAAGCCGGAAAAATTTTGAGAGGTAAATTAATTTGTCTACTTTTTCACTTTCACTCAGAGTACAAGATTTGTTCCCATGGGAAAGTTAATGACTAGCTTGGATGAATTTGTAATGTATCTTGTTGCATAGATAGAATGCCAGAAAAATTTTGAGAGTTAAGGGAAATTGTCTACTTTTTGCATGTTATTAGTCTATGTTCTTTGGTACATTATTTAATTTAATAAAAATTATTTAGTGCATTACTACCATTATAAAAAATAGGGTTAACTGTCATCAACAATCGACAGCAAGAAAATTTTTTTTTTCCCAGATGTTTGTAGGAGCAGTCCAGATTTGGTGCTTAGCTATCTTATGAACAGGTCTTATGTTCTTCAAGCAGGGGGTCCACTACTTCCTCATAAATCCAAATGTGATGCGGTTCCATCTTTGATCCTTGGTGGGACAGTGTTCCATATCCTCTCCATAATTCCATGGGTCAGTGGAATTCTCCTTGCCCACTTGGTGGGGGAGTAAAGACAACTATTTGTAACTCCAGACTGGATGAGTGCTGGATTATGGTGGAGTATGGCATATGATCCCATCAATCCAGGCCTGGGAGTTTGCCTCTTGGACTTTTTCAGGTTGATCAGAAGGATTGTCCACGTTGGTGTTGCTTTCCTCCTTTCATAAATCCAGTGGTTTGAAATGCATAATTCTGTGGTTACTGGCAGGGATCATATCACAAAAATATATATATCTGCATTCCAACTGCCCTGGCCACCTTAAATCCAACCCGTGTTGTGGAACCTTGGCTGTTTGATCGGGCTGGACCATTATACTTGTATTATATTCCACCCTTTTCAACTTCCTGTAGTTCTGGGTGAAGAGCATACCTGTTCTGAATGTAGTGCAGTTTTTCCACTTTGATACCACTCTTGTGGTACATATTTGTTCTTTGCAAATGCTTTCTGTATGATCTCTGTCCTCACCAGCCCTTCCACCTTCACAATGTGGGATTTTAGCTATTAATGTCAGTGGAGGTATGTATATTTTGGAAGTTATCATTTTCCTAGACTGAAAATGTATTTCCAAACATACTTACCTCTACTGACACTCTCCCTCCCTTCCTCCCCATTAAGAGCCAGTGTTAGTGACCGAAATGAGATAAGTCACAAAAAAGTGATTTTTATTGTCTGCATACAATGCTCATATACAGTACCTGCATAGAGAGTGTGTGAAAGCCGGTGTAAAGTTTTGCAAACTAGATATTGCCAAGGGCAGTCAAGTGGGGTATATAAAGTCTGGGGCAAGTGAACACAACGTTAGATGGCAAAGATGAAGTTCGGGAAATAGCTATTAGTTTCAGTGGAGGTAAGTATGTTTGGAAATACATTTTCAGTTTCGGAAAATAATAACTTTCTTTATATACACTGGTCACTCCACCATATTATCAATGTGTGATTCTAACTATTTGGATGTGGAGTGAAGTAGCAGGATTATACCTAATAGTACAACCAAAAACCATTGTTTATGAAGATTCAAAATAACAAAAAATGAATTGACACCTGAATCATACAATAAAGAGCTACAATATTGTTACTCTAATAAAAGCATAACAAATTTAAATGTAATAAAAAGAAAATCTTACTATAGGGTGTGTTTTACATATCTAATTTGATTTTAACTAATCTCTGTTACTTAGCAGAACATATGAAGTGGGTAGAGGTATTTTTGATAGATACTAACCTTTCCACTGAACCTCTCACCCTTCCCACTTTTGATGTGTTTCTTTTGCTTAATGAAGAATACGTTTTTGTTGAATCACTAGGGCTCACAGGGTTTACTGTGCATGGAGGATGTATTACCATTATATCATCCGCTTATTTATGGAGGCTCATGGTCTAATGATGATCACATAGGCTGACACAGTCCATATTAGTACATGTAGGAGTTGTAGTTTCATTCGAAGCTTGTGACTTGCACAAAAATCTTCTCAACAGGTGTATTAAATAATAGCTGTTTGTTCTGTGGACAGGTCAGTATCTATCTTACATACATTATCAGGTAAGGAAAATGTGAACTTTACCAATACCTAGCTTTTAATAGATAAAATATCTCTAATTTATAGATATTTGGAGCTCTTTTAAGAGGGTGTACCCAGAAATTGGCTGTCCTGAATCTTGCTAGAAACCATTTTTCTACCAAAAAAACTAAGGATGTGAATGTTTCACCTTCCTTTAAAGCATTCTTTTCTAGCACAGTAGCTCTTGAGCATTTGAATTTGTCTGGAAACAAACTGCCACTTGAAGCTCTAAAGTAAGACATTTTTATGGTGATTTCAGAACTTGTAATGTTTTTATCATTTACCACCTTATGTTATTCTTGGGCAGTTAAAATAATCTGCCTATTCATAACTTATAATTTCTGAAATGCCCACCTATTGCAAGTTGAATATGAATATCCTTACAGAAGTTTTAGTAAAGGAAATCATGCATGAATAAGATATTTAGAAAAAGAAAAATACTTTTAAATAAGTTTTTATTGTTAAAATTCAAAATTCGTTAATCTTTTAGCAGCTGTAGTTCCTTTGTATCTTAAACATTTCAAAGTCACTTTAAAGATTTTGATAGGTTATAAAATATGAAACCCAACAATTTGAATGCTTTTGGAAAGTCTGATTCCCCAAATTTGTTCTCTCATATGGCTTTGTAATATCATAAACAACTACATATAATGTTGCTAAATAGTGTACTTAATGAAAATGTGGAAGTTAATATAAATAAATTGTATTCTTTAATACATGATGAAATATGATAAATATTGTGAGTGAAATGTATCTTGTACATTTACAGTATGTATTACCAATTTTTTTGTATAAATGGTAAAACAAATTTAATACTCAGAGATTTTCATGACATCAATGTATAGATCCTTTGTGAACCAATTACTGAACAAAATTAATTTCTCAATGAAGAAGATGAGTTTATTTAAATTAGTTTATGTAACATAGGGATTGTTTCAAACCAATTCTTGGAAAAAGTTAGATAATAATTTTATAACATTTTTCTCAAATATCTTTGTAAATGATTAAAATATACATAGAAAATGCAAACATAAATTACGTGCTTTTAATAAATTGGTTTCTTAATATTTAGTACTTGGATTAAGTACTACAGGATATTGTAATTATGTTTCTGAAAATCTATTCTGAGGTGTAACCTGTTTATGACGGGGGGGGTTCTAAATCCTAGAGCCATGCTTCTAGGGCTGACATGCAACAAATTTGCCACTGATGTAGTTGTGGATCTTAGCAGCTGTGAATTGAAGTCTGAAGGTGCTCAGGTTCTAGAGTCATGTCTTCCTAGTATTAACTGTCTGTGTAGTCTGGATATTAGTGATAATGGTAAGAAACAAATTTAATTTATTTTAAAAGGCTGTTATTTACTTGTAAGTATATAACACTCAAGCACTGAAAATAACGGATACTAAGGTAGCAATGAGACTGCTATGTGAGGATCTTTTTATTCTCAATGTTTCGACTACAAGTCTTCTCCAGGAGATTGATCAAAACATTGAGAATAAAAAGATTGTGCTATAGCATTCATAGTCTCATTGCTACCTTAGTATCCATTTATCAACATGAATAATACTCACTGAGAGTAATATTTGCATAGTTAATTGTCTGTAATGTTTTGATATTAATGATAACTACAGAGAAAAAATTTGTTTCTGTTCTATTGGCATTGAAATGCTGTAGTCAATTTTCATTAGTTTTCATTGTCTATGTACTAGACATAACTAGAAGTACACTTGTTTCTATTATATTAATACTTTCAAATTCCAGCTGCTCATTTGGAAAAATAATTTCTTTCTACTAAGTGCATATACTGTATGTAGTGTGGTGATATTAGTGAAAGTTGTAAAATATAGTGTTTGATTATATTAAAATAATGTATGATCCCAAGATGGTAATATGCCAGTGTCATGTCACCTTTGCATTCAATGGCTGTAGAGTATTTGTGATATAAGGAAGGTGAAACAGAAATAAATGGTTTTGAGTTTTTAGAGTTGAAAACTTTGTGTATGTATGAATGTTTTTTAGTACTTAGAATACACATGTAGTGAATATGAAGTTGGAATTTGTTAAAGAAAAACTAGGTTCAGTTTTGATAACAATTATTAAACATATTGGATGAAAAACTAAGAAAGCATTATACTATACAATTTTTCACAGGTTAATGTGGAATCTTATAGGTTAAAACTTAAAATAATCACCTTTGTGGAATATTTATTGATGTTTTGCTGTATTAACATTTATCAAATTTGTTACCACATTCTTTAGCTTATAATTATTTTATAGCACATATTTCAAAACTGTTTAGTTCTAGCAGATATTGTAAAATGGAGCAGTATAAAACTAAGCCAATTAACAATTAATCTTAAATCCTCAAGGAATAGCATTATAACTGGATAATTATTTATCAGTGAAACATTTGAATGGTAATCTCAGGAAACTTTTACAGATGGTGAACTACCTGTTGTATTATCTTTTCTTTTGATGACATTTCACCTCTGTTGCTGAAGTCTTCTTGTTCTTGTTTAGTTTTTTTTTTTTGGTCTAAAAAAACCCTAAGCATAGAGACTGATATGCCCATAAGTGAAAAGAAAGATGTCAGGTAGTTTTAGCTTATTAAGCATTAGTAAAATATTTTTATGTTTGGATGAGAACATAATTAATTCTGGTCAAATTCTTAAATGATGAGACTGAAACTGGATAAAAAGTACATATAAATACTGGTAAAAATTGTTTGGTGATGAGACTTTAAACAAGGAAAGTTTTGAGTGAAAGAACCTAATCTTGTCAAACAGATGATTAGATCTTCAAAACTCACAATTTTTATAAAACAACAATTACTTTTATACACAATTCTATAAAAATGAGTTTGTTTCCAGTCTCCAAATTACTAAAATACAATAACTTACTGTACAGGATAAAAAGTGGTAAAAAACCCAAATGAAACTGGAAAACAATCTCATACACTCTACATGGTTCGATTTATACTATTGCGTCATCCTCAGGAGACTAGAAACAATCTCATTTTTATAGAATTGTGTATGAAATATAATTGTTTGTTTTTAAAAATTATGTTTTTAAAATTGAACATTACACACGTGCCAAAATTAAAAAAAAAAGGATGATTAGATATTAATAAAGATGTGAAATGAATTGAAGTAGAACTGGATAAAAAACTAATTAGATACAATTAAATTATTCAATGATTGTGTTGAAAAGTTTATGCAGATTATCTCCTGGTCTTTGTAAACTAGAATGTCTGAAAAATTGAAACATCCAGGATTGGAAAGTCCTTGAAAATTATAAGTTGTACTTTAGCATTGGAAAAATTTGCTTTCATTCAAATCAATGATCATAATGATTTTATAGACATGTATATGATAAATATGTCAGGCTTGTCAGTTTTAAATATTGTACTTTGTAGAGAAATAAGAGGGTGACCCTATTGATCAACTCTGTGATGTAACACATAGTTTAGATAGCAGTGGTCCTCACAAAGAAGAGCATGAATAGTATAAAGAATTTATATGTCCAATAATGTTAATGTAAATATCCATATCAATGTAACTGAAGGTGATAAAAAGAAAGCTTTATCAAAGATGATTTTATTTTTTCAATAATAAATATTTCTTCTTTAAATGCTTTACCTCAAGCTTAAAATCCATGAATTTTATCACAGAAAAATAGAAATTTCAGTAACTTTAATAATGCTATCAATAGCTTTCTTCATTAGTAAAAATGTATTGTGATTTCTCTAATGTAAACCTATATGTGCTTTATGTCTAATAATTAATTTTCTTAGCGAGAATTGAATCTAGTGTCTATGTGTCAGTTTTCAGGAATATATATATTTATATAATTTGTATACACATATAACAAACTGTGTTTTAAAGTTGCATTTGTAGCTTTGTGATCAACATGAATATGACAAGTGAATGGTCAGTAGTATTTTTCAGTGTTTACAATAACATGGCACAAAGTGTATGAACTTACCACATTCTTGACTCTTTCCATACAGACATCTTTTTCTGCAGATGTCATGAGGATTTATTGAGTTATGTTAATTAAATTAATTGAAATTAAATTAAATGTATATTATTCATTATACTATTGTTATTACTCAGGCAAAACATAATTCAATCTTATTTGGTTACAAAGCCATAAACTAGAAAAACAGACCCCTCTTGGCACACCCATCTATCATATCCTCGATTTCAAAAATTACCAGTAGTTTTCCCTGATGTTTAATACCATATTATTTATAACCAATAAAAAACCAAAGTTCTAGTCTATCAAGTGACATATACAAGTTGAGTATTGTCTATTTTGCTTCAAGTTCAAAGTTTATTCCCACAGGAAACATATCAACAAGCTTAGCTGAATATTTAATGGTTCTTATTACATAGTTAGAAAGACAGAAAAATTCTGATAGTTGAAGGACATTGCTTTGTACATGTTATTACTCTGTGTTCTTAGATGCATTATATAATCAAATAAAAAACTATTTAGTGCAGAAGTACCATTAGTATAGAAAAATAGGGTTAAATTTCCTTGACAGTCAACAGCAAAAAAAAAGAAAAGACCCAGGTAAGTACTATCCTTCTTTTTCATGTGTATTCATTATCGTTTTATTACTCTGTGTTCTTAGATGCATTATTTGATCAAATAAAAAACTATTTAGTGTAATAGTACCATAAGTATAGAAAAATAGGGTTAAATATCCTTGACAGTCAACAGCAAAAAAGAAAAGACCCAGGTAAGTACTATCCTTCTTTTTCATGTGTATTCTTTATTGTTATAAAAGTAACTAGAATGTAAAATTCTAAAACACACCTCCTCTCGCACTTTAGCTTTATCCCGACAAAAGTTTCTTTTCTCTGCCCATCTAAGCATTGGCATGAATCTTCCTTGCTTGCTTCAGCCTTCATATCCCACTATATTGCCCATAGCAATTTTAATCTTGTGTTTCTCTCCATCTGCGTCAATGTGTCCCCTATACCACATCCTTATATAAGTTTCCTGGTCACTTTTCTCGACAGCAGAACATTACGATGCTGGTTTTACCCGATTGCTGCCAGTTTCTCTGATGTGTTGTGTAGCTTTAGTTATACCTATGCTTTGGACAGTTGTTTTTCAACCTGTCTTTTTGTATTTTGAGTTTATTTTCTATTTCTTTTAATTAAAAAAAAATTCTGAGACACTTCTGATATGAATTCTCACATTCACATCTCTGAAAGGGAGTCTCCTTGGGCTCCTGATCTGCTACCTCTGGAGTCTAGCATTGCCTGGGCATTGGAAGGAGGCCCCCTTTCCGCAAAGGATTTCCAATCCCTCATCTTCAGAGAAGTAGAGTCTTACATGAGGTCTTATGTTTCTTTTCCTGCAGGCTCAGAGGCTGAGCTTGTGGGGGATCAGGGGTGAACTGGTGAGAATTTTAGACTATTTTTCTGGCTCCTTCCTTTGCTTAGACAGCTAATCATGAGCCTAGTACAGGCATCCCACCTCCTACATTGTTTTTGCAACTAGTGCATCAAATTTGTAATGTCTTGAGCATTTTTCCTGTGGTTTACAACTGTTTTCCTTCTTTGTTGGGGGAAGTCATTCAGCTGATTACCTAGTCTTTCCACCTTTGTCAGACATTGCTGTGCAAGCTTGGAGATTTGCGGATGAATTAAGAGAGGGTGCTGCCGTGCTTTGTCCCCCCCCCCCCCCATTATTGGGGAAGCTTGCCTTAGCTTTCCATTACTTGGAAAAGCCAAACTTTGATTCTCAGAGATTAGATCTTCTTCTTCCTATTTGGAGTTCTATGCCTGATGCATCTATTCATCATAATGCAACTCAGTTTTTCTGGATTCGACTGTCTCATACTACATTTTGCATTTTTGTCTTCTTTTCAACTGTTGTCTAAAGCCTTTCATAGGTCTCCTACTCAATTTTCAGAGGAACGTAATCACTTATTGACTTCTACTTTGGTTATATTATCAGCTTCTGCTCTCTACTTTGTCTCTTGGTTGGTTTGTTGTTGGGATCTTTTGGTGAGAGATGCCTTCCATAAGGGTGTTTGACTTCCTTCTTCAGCCATTAGAGATCTCAGAGAGGCTCCTTTTTTCTGACAATCGATTTTTGCAGAAATTCCACATTCCATGGAATCTCAGGTGGATGTGGCCCATCTCCACTCTTCTCTTTTGATACTTATCTGCTTTTTCCAGTCTTCCACCAGATGGTTTACTACATTTCTTTTTCAGCTTTCCAAACAAGGGAGATTCTGCCCTTATCAACAGGCATCCTCCGCTTGTGTGGAACACCAATAATGGCATTGGTAACTACCC